TCACTGATGACTGCGGCTGGGTCCTAGCCCACTCTAAACCTCAGCTGACTCAGCTGCAAAGCAAGGGGTTTGTTTCTCCAGCTCTCAGCCTTGATTTTCTCACTGGCTCTTCCCCAGACCTCCCCTCTCAGACCTATCACCCTGCCTTTGCAAGTACTCTTCCATCTTCTTACAATATTCTTCCTCACTGTTCTGCCTCTAGCACTTCCTGCATCATCTCAAAGAAAACTTCTTGACCTTCCCAGGCACCACTGGTTTCTCTCTTCTTTGCATATACAACTACATGAATATTTCCATAGGGCAGCAACTCCCAGCTCTAGGATAAAGAGACCCCTGGCAGGGTGGGGTAGAGTGTGTAATTCATTCATTTAATTTGACACGTATTTACCTGCCACCCTGCAAGAGGCCTGGAATCAGGGATATGAGTGGTACCTACCCACCACCAGAATAGTGGGATCTGGCTGGGGAAGGGGAAGCCCCAGGACAATGGGACTCAGAGAGGCTCAGCTCACAGCCAGGGAATGAAAGGTGGGGAGGAGGGATTAAATTACAGGGTAGGGGGATGGGAGGGAAGAGGCGGGGAATGGAGAGAACAAGGCAAGCCAGATAGTTGGAGTGCCAGCGTGTTGCAAGTGGAGGAACATGAGGTGGACCCTTGAGCGGGGACAGTCATAAAGCTTTACAGAAATGGCTATTATTGAGCCAGGCATGGTGGCTCATGCCTGTAATCACAGCACTTTGGGAGGCCAAGGCAGGAGGCTTGTCTGAGCCCAGGAGTTTGAGACCAGCCTGGGCAACATGGCGAGACGCCATCTCTATTTAAAAAAAAAAAAAAAAAAAAAAGGGCGGGCGCGGTGGCTCACGCCTGTAATCCCAGCACTGTGGGAGGCTGAGGTGGGTGGATCACAAGGTCAAGAGATCAAGGCCATCCTGGTCAACACGGTGAAACCCCGTCTCTACTAAAACTACAAAAAATTAGCTGGGCATGGTGGCGCGTGCCTGTAGTCCCAGCTACTCAGGAGGCTGAGGCAGGAGAATTGCCTGAACCCAGGAGGCGGAGGTTGTGGTGAGCCAAGATCGCGCAATTGCACTCCAGCCTGGGTAACAAGAGCGAAACTCCGTCTCCAAAAAAAAAAAAAAAAAAAAGGGCTGGGTGCAGTGGCTCACAGCTGCTGTAATCCCAGCACTTTGGCCAAGGCAGATGGATCATCTGAGGTCAGGAGTTCGAGACCAGCCTGGCCAACATGGTGAAATCTCATCTCTACTAAAAATACAAAAATGAGCCGAGTATGGTGGCAGGCACCTGTAATCCCAGCTATTTGGGAGACTGAGGCAGGAGAAAAACTTGAACCCAGGAAGCAGAGGTTGCGGTGAGCCTAGATCTTGCCACTGCACTCTAGCATGGCTGATAGAGTGAGACTCAGTCTCAAAAACAGAAATCACTACGATAGCCCCTCATATTTATTGAGGGCTTCCTATGTACCATGCACATTCTGCATGGTTTACGTGTTTCCTCCTGGAGTCCTGACATCTTGCCTGTGCTTTGGGCATGTATAACTGTTAGACCCATTTTACTGATGAGAAAACTGAGGCACAGGAAGTTTCTGATACTTGTCCAAAGTAAGAAATAGTTGGCAAGTTTGGAGACTGCTCCTCAGAGTCTCTGCTGCCAGCTGCCAGTCTCCTGCAGAGTCCAAACCACTGTGTGGGGCCGTTATCTATCCCCAGGGAACTGGGGAACCACAGATTTCCAAGGAAGGGAGTGATGTGATTTCTTTCTTTCTTTGTTTTTTTTTTTTTTTTTTTTTTGAAATAGAGTCTTGCTCTGTTGCCCAGGCTGGAGTGCAGTGGCTTGATCTCGGCTCACTGCATCCTCTACCTCTCGGGTTCAAGTGATTCTCCTGCCTCAGCCTCCTGAGTAGCTGGGATTACAGGTACCTGACACCACGCCTGGCTAATTTTTGTATTTTTAGTAGAGACACAGTTTCACTATGTTGGTCAAGCTGGTCTCGAACTCCTGACCTCATGTCCACCCACCTTGGCCTCCCAAAGTTCTGGGATTACATGTGTGAGCCACCACACCTGGTGATGTGATTTCTTTCAGTAGGATATCCTTGGCTGCCATGTGGAGGATGGATTGTAGGGGAAACAGGAGAGCCAAGGAAGAGCTTAGAGTCCTAGACTGGGAGATAGTGGGGACAGAGAACAGATACAGATTGCAGGAGAAATTGAGATAGGGAAGAGGCTGATGGCATATAGGGGTAGGGGAGGGGGGTTGTTGCTGTGGCTGGTTGGGGGACCATGAAGTGATGGAGAGCCTAGGAACAGGGGTCAATGGGATGGGATGTACCCAGTTCTGGACAGTGTGTGTTTGAGGTGCCCAGGTGTCTGGGGGAGGTTTCAGAGCAGTGGTGGACATGGGGCTGGCAATCAAGGAAGTGGAGAGGACCCTGTGGGGTTCTGAGCCCCCAAAGTGGGAGGCGTATGACTGGAGTGGCAAGCAGAGGCCTGGCCATAGCCCTGGGGATCCCATGGAGACGGAGAAGGAGCAGCCAGCTGAGTGGAAGCAAGGGTTGCTGGACTCTCTGGGAAGAGCACAGGACTGGAAAGGAGTAGCTAACTGGCAGGAAGGGTGGGATAACCACAGGACCTGTCCTGGGGCTGGGGAAGGCCAGGCTCCATCCTGCCCTGCTTCCATAGATTGGGGTCTGTGTTGTGCCCACCTACTGAGAGCTGGGCCTCCAAGGGGCTGACAGGTTCTCCCTGTTGCCTGGCAACTGTGAGAGCTGTTGGCTGTTGCTAGGAGCAGGCTAGAGAGGCCAGAGGAGGGAGGATGGGCTCTCAAGCCTGGGGCGGGGCAACGTGTGAAGGGAAGGGGAGGGGCCCACCTTGGAAGCCAGTTTGTAGTCTGTGCGTGGACAGACTGTATTCTTGGCCATGTGCACCCATTTCTGTAGGGTGTTCTGTGGATTTAAGGCATGTTGGAGGCTGACCTATGTGTGGGTGTATACAGCATATCTGTGTCCCTGGTGGGCATTATGTATCCTCAACATGTTTCACGCCCATGGCAGGGCCTGCCTGAGCTTCAGAGCAGTGGTGGACATGGGGCACCATATCCCATGTCTCAGGTCAGGAGGGAGCCCTGAGGGAGTCATTGGAGGACTTCCAGGACAATGACTCCTTATCAAGAGAAACATTCAGATAGGGATATGCAGACACTCCAGGGAGAATAGCCAGCCTGGGGAATTGGGACAAAATGTGTACCAAGCTTTGTTTGTTTGTTTGTTTGTTTGTTTGTGACAGAGTCTCACTCTATTGTCAGGCTGGAGTGCAGTGGTGTGATTTCAGCTCACTTCAACCTCTGCCTCCTAGGTTCAAGCGATTCTCCTGCCTCACCTCCCGAGTAGTTGGGATTACAGGTGCACGCCACCACACCCAGCTAATTTTTGTATTTTTAGTAGTGACAAGGTTTCACCATGTTGACCAGGCTGGTCTTGAACTCCTGACCTCAAGAGATCTGCCTGCTTCGGCCTCCCAGAGTGCTGGGATTACAGGCATGAGCCACCATTCCTGGCCAAAATGTGTACCAACATTCTAAGTAGTCTGTGCTAAACAGCGGGCTGTTGTTTGCAAGTACCCTGTCTTGCTTCAGGGACCTTCCCTGTCTTTGGGCTGGGGCCTCCTGGCCTCATGGCACTGGGGCCACACAAAACGCCTTAGTGAGTAATATTTGGCAGACCCTTCCAATGTCCAGTCGAGGTTGGGGCTGTGGGCTCCTCCTGGAGCGCAGGATCAGAAAGACTTGAAATGTTCAGCTAGAACCACTGCTGCCTCCATCCCAGCTTTGCCTGGCCATAGGGTTGCAGCCATTGCCCAGTGGGGACAGGCCACAAGAGGGTGGGATGTGGGTTCATGGCCACCTCCAGACGTGGACAGGCCATGGAAAAGACAGATAATAAGATCATGGCCACTTTTGTTTCTAGAAGTCCAGTGGCAACTTCTTCCTCTTTCTTCCCTCCCAACCCCCTCACCCTGCCTGTCTGCCCTCCCCTCTTCCTCCCTCTCCACCTTCTCTCCCTCTCTCCCTTCCTCCTTTGGGTTCTGATTGCCTGGTCCCAGATTGGAGTCCAGGATGGCTGCCTGAGGAAGAATGTCTCCAGGTAGATTGGGGAAGGATTGGTAAGACTTGGATTACTTGAGAAGGCACCCAGCTGAAGGAGACAGCCTAGGCAAAGGTGTAGAGGTGGAAATCGACTTTTTTTTTTTTTTTGAGACAGAGTCTCGCCCTGTGGCCTAGGCTGGAGTGCAATGGCACCATCTCGGCTCACTGAAACCTCCACCTCCCGGATTGAAGTGGTTCTCCTGCCTCAGCCTCCTGAGTAGCTAGGATTACAGGTGCCCACCACCTGTCCCATCTAATGTTTTGTATTTTTAGTAGAGACGGGTTTACACCATGTTGACCAGGATGGTCTCGATCTCTTGACCTCGTGATCCACCCGCCTCGGCCTCCCAAAGTGCTGGGATTACAGGCTTGAGCCACCGCGCCCGGCCAATTTTTATATTTTTAGTAGAGATGGGGTTTCACCATATTGGCCAGGCTGGTCTTGAACTCCTGATCTCAAGTGATACGCCCGCCTTGGCCTCCCAAAGTGCTGGGGTTACAGGTGTGAGCCACATCGCCAGGTCTTTTTTTTTTTCTTTTTCGACTTGCTGCAACCCAGAGGGAGAAGGGGGTAAACCCGCCTTAAGTCTGAGAAAACCGCAGTCCAGAAGGGCCCCCGGGTTCTGTAGATCCCAAAACAAGTTGATTGGGCCCATTAACTTTAACAAATGACAAAAGACACGCCTCCTCCACCTAACTCGCCCAACTCACTGACGCTCAGAGGGCGGGTTCCTGCTCGGCTCCACAGGACACGAGATCCCCACCGTCGCCCCCCCTACCCCCGGCTGTCCCGCAGCACCCAATCGGAGCCCGGCCCCGCCTGCAGCCTGCCCAGCGCCGGGTCCCTTCGTTCGGATCCAACCCTATTGCCTTTGCTCGGCGCGGCCCCGCCTGCAGCCCAGACCCGAGCCTGGGCTGCGCTTAACTTCTCGCTTCTCTCCACGCTCGAGCCAATCACCAGCCTCGAATTTCCTCTGGCCCCGCCTCCAGGCCCGCCCAGGCCCAGTCCCGGGCTTGGTTCGTCCAGGCCCCACCCCCGCCCCGCCCCGCGGTCGGTGCGCCGCGGTCGAGAAGGCGCCTACAGCAGACGCTCGGAACTGCGGACCCGAGAGCTTCCCGCATTAGGGCTGGTGGTGGGAGCGGAGTGGGTCGGGCGGGGCCGAGCCGGGCCGTGGGCCGTGGGCCGTGTGGGGGCCGGGCGGCGGCCGGGCCGGCGGACGGCGGGATGGGGTGCACAGTGAGCGCCGAGGACAAGGCGGCGGCCGAGCGCTCTAAGATGATCGACAAGAACCTGCGGGAGGACGGCGAGAAGGCGGCGCGGGAGGTGAAGTTGCTGCTGTTGGGTGAGGCCGCGTCCCGCAGCTTGAATCCCCCCGGACGAGGACTTTGACCTCCCAGACTAGGGCTTCAAACTCCCAGGCCCGCCTGGATCCCCACACCTAGTCCAGGACCAGGGTTGAAAACTCTAGGGTGGGCTAGACCTTTGATCCTGCCCAGACCCCCATCTCATTCCAGACCCCAGACCTCCAAATCCAGTCAACAGTGCCCCAACACCCGCGGTCCAGAGCCCTGCTTGGCCATCTGCCCTTGCTAACCAGCTTCACAGAACTTCCGAACCCCCGCCATCCTTCCCCACACTACCCAAACCCCCAGGACGCCCGCCACTTGTTCCCCAACCCTCAGGCTCCACTTGTTTTCCCCACCTGAGCCTTTTATTCCTGTTGTGCGTGAGCATCCCGCGGGCCCCTGCCAGACCCCCCGCCAGGCCCCCCACCCACTGCCTCCTTCTCCCTCTGTGCCCCATTCCTAGTCTGGAATCTGTATCCTCCACCTGTGCGCTCTGACCCAAGGAACCTCTCGAGTGGGAAACTGTTCTTGAGCCCCCTCTCCAGCTGGAACCCCTTCAGCGAGCCTTGCTCCCTGCTTCCTGCCCTCCAGATCCCTCTCTGCAGACATCACTCCCGAATCCCTTTGATGATCTTCCCTTAAGTCCTCTTACACTTTGGCCTTCCCCAGATCCCTCCACCCCTCCTGCACCAAGTGGGCTGGGCTAGGAGGAGGGAGCCCTGCGTTGGAGAGGGCCTAGGCTGCCTTACGCAGAACCCCCACGGGGCTGGCCTGAGGCTCCACTGGTCACACAGGGGGAGGGGGCCAGGCCTCAGGCTTCCCAGGGAGGCTCTGCGGGCTCTATGTTTTACAGTCTGGGAAATAGGAAAGAGTGTGGAGGAGTTAGGGTTGTGGCCGCCTCCAAGGCCAGGGAAGATGGTGGCTGCTAGAGCGGTGGGGGGAAGTGGAAGTGGTGAGACAGCAGACATATTGCTGCCCCTGCGGGTGGGCCCAGGAGATCTGCTAGTAGGTGCTGGGCTGCCCACACCCCTTCCGGGCTGCAAGGCCTGGGATGTAGCCTCTGAGAGTAGGGGGACTTGTTTGATCTTGGGGCCTTGTGAAGGGGAATGGACTGGCCGAATAAAGAGTTGAGGGGCCAGTTGGGGGTGGGCCTGGGTGCCTCTGAGCATCCCAGCTGGCCTTTCGCAATGACCATGGGCTTACTGGTTGTCCCCATCCAGCCTCTCACTGGAAGCAGGGGTGGTGCCCAGTGGCAGTCTGATTTTGATTTGGGGGTTTTAGAGTTGGGGGGAGGGAGGCTCTCTTAACAGCGCAGCACCGTTGTAGGCTGGGTAGTGCACAGGGGGGTGTGGCCCCTCGGCTTCAGAACTGTCATGGGGCCCCAGGCTGTGAAAAGCAGGGCTTTTCATGCTAGGCTTGTGGCCAAGGAAGAGCGTGTATGTCCATTACGGGCCCATCTGTTGACTGTCCCGGGGGACCCGGCCTCCAGGGCACAGCCCCGGAGGTTTCAAAATGGCATCCGTTTCGCTGCTGCCTCAGGGAGGAAGAGAAGGGGCGGGAAGGGGCGGCGGCCCAGCCTCCTGGGCTGCTTTGCGTTGGGCGCTTGCCTCTTCCTGTCTCTGCTGTGAGTGCGGCAGCGGCAGTGAGTGGGTGTCGACGCGGCGGAATGCCCTTCGCTGCTGCTGCTGCCCGCCGGGCCTGGGGAGGGCACTTCCGGTACCGCTGCCTCCCAGTGCCCAGCCAGAAGCCTCTTCCCAGGCTAATCGCAGTTACTGTGGTGGCGGAGGAGATGTGAGACTGGACCACTGAGCTGGGAGAACCCAGGGCTTCTGGCTAGTTTTGTGTCCTGACACCAGAAGGGTCCCCCATCCCACCAGGCCTCTGCTAAGTCAGGTGGGACCTAGCAACTCTTCCCACACTGGGCTTGCAGCAGCCAGGGGTGCAGGGTCTGGCTCAGCACTTTCTAATCTGGGGAGTTCACCCCTGGGTCCCGCCCCTCTGGCCTTTGCTTACTCTGTGAAATGGGCTTCCTGGGTTTGGGCCGAAGGAGTCCCTCAGCTCAGGATGGGGAGAACAAGAGCCCCCTGGTGGTTCTTGTTGGGGTTTTGGGCTGGGGGTTAAGACCCCGCAGAGTGTGTGCTGCAAAGGGCCCCAGCCAAGCTCTGCCTGATACTGTCGACCCAATCTGCCTTGGCTGCCTGGGGCGGAATCCTGGCTTGAGCCAAGCCTTGCCCATCCAGGTGCAAGGTGACGATGGGAGTCCAGCTGTGGCAAGTTCAGAGTTCTGGGCGCCTGTCCCATGTAGCGGGAGACTTTGTCCAGGCAACGGGACGCAGATTGGGCAATTGCCAGCCTTCCCTCCCAGCCAGAACCACGCCTGCTGCCCTGCCCGCACACTGCCTCCCTCCCTCCCATCCTGGATAGCCCTGCCAGCAGGCGGGCACAGTCCTGTCACCAGGGCAGAGGCTGATGTGGTACACACAGAGTTTTCCTGGCAGCTTGGTGGGGGGAGAAGATACCAATCCTACTCTAGGGATGCTCCCCACTCCTACCCAGCTCAATGTGACTGACCAGCTAGGCCCAGATGGAATCTGGGGCTGTGGGCTGGGCACTTAGGGGAAAGGAAGCCAGAGTGTGTGTGGGGGGGATAGTCTCTGATTTGGGATGGGCTTGCGTGGACAGCTTCACAGAAAAAGGGGACAGTGTCCGCCATTGGCTCCGTAAAGGCTTCAGAATGTAAATATAGCTGTTCTCTCTTGTCCCCTGGAACTTTGCATCTGCTGTTCCCTACTTGATTGTGCTTTAAAGCTTTACTCCGGAATCACCTCCCAGGATCCTTCCTGGACATCCTCCCTCGACCAAGGCTGGTGAAACATCTCTGGCTCCCAGTGCTATTGCTTCCCCCATCAGATACCTGGAGGCTGCCGGGCAGGGCTATGTCCTCTTCATTTCTGTGCCCGGCATGGAGCCTGGCATCTACTGGGTGCTTCTCATCTGTTTGTTGAAAGAAGGAAGTATCCTCTGAACCTGATTTTGGGTAGACGGAGGGGTAAACTGAGCAGCAGTTTGGATACTGTGGGCAGGAAGCAAGGGTCCACAGGCCCACTGCAAGGTCGGTGACCAGCATTGAGGGGACACTGAGAAAAACTCTTCAGGCTGTTTCTTCCCAGCCCTGCCACAGGCTATGCTGGCACCTCCGAAACAGTTCTTACCCCACCCCTTGCGGAACTCCTGCTGAGCAGCCTGCAGCCTGTTCATCTGGGAGAGTTCTGGCTTTGTATTCTTCCAACTCAGGCTGTTTGTGCACTGCTAGAGGGCTGCTGTCTCTGCCACTCTGGCAGCCACAGTAGAGCTTGAGCTGGCTGGTCCCACTGGGGCTGCCCCTCTGCTCTGGGGCTCAGACCAGAGCAATGCTGTGAGAGGCCTGGGACTGGCCAGCGCAGAGACTGCACATAGCAAGGGCTCAGTTAAGTTTACCAAGAGAAAAGAAAGGGAATTTTGTGGCCTCTGTCCTGTCTGTGTCTCTTGCAAAGGTCTGGCATACTATAGATGCCTAATGAGTGTATATGGACAGAATGAAGTGATTGAATGTGTCCACGAACAGGGCATAGCTCCTGGAAGAGGGGTAAGTTTAATTCTGCAGCAGCCCTAGAGCCTGGTCTAGCAGGAGATAGATGGGAAGGGCTAGCCTGGGATTCTGGCTGGCTGGGTGGTGGGTTAGACTCTAGTGGTGTCTGTGAAGGGGGGCTTCCTGGAGGAGGAGGGGTCTGGTGGGCATCTGTGAAGGATGAACACCATTTGCCAGGGCCAGGCACTGGAGGGCAGAGGGACTGACTAGACAAGAGCACTGCAGCAGAAAGACTTGGCCCTTTATTCCCAAGACCTTGGGTGGGTGTTTCCTGGCAGGGCTGTGGGAGGGCCTATCCTCCCTGGACCAGCCCATGGGGTCACCCAGACCTGAGTTTGAATCCCAGTTCCACCTAAGGCACTGGCTGAGACACTCAGCATCAGGTGAAGCCCTGGAAGGAGTCTTGCTCTCCATTCATAACCTGGAGGCAGAGGTGCCTCCCTGCAGCCACAGTTGTTATGGGGACAGTCCACCAAACCCTGGAGGTATGAAAATGAGTGAGGGAGGCCAGGCGCTGTGGCTCACACCTATAATCTCAGCATTTTGAGAGGCTGAGGCAGGCGGAGCACCTGTCAGGAGTCACAGGTCAAGAGTTCGAGACCAGCCTGGCCAACATGGTAAAACCCCATCTCTATTAAAAATACAAAAAACTTAGCCAAGTATGGTGGTGCGTGCCTGTAATCCCAGCTACTCAGGAAGGTGAAGTATGAGAATCGTTTGAACCTGGGAGGTGAAGGTTACAGTGAGCCAAGATGGTGCCACTGCACTCCAGCCTAGGGGACAGAGCAAGACTCTGTCTCAAAAAAAAAGAAAGTGGATGAGAGACCCACTGCTGAGAGTTTGGTGGGAAGGAGGCAGCCATTCACAGCAAGTGGGGAGCCCAAGGTGTGCAGATAGTTGGTGACAGATTGTCCTGGGCGCCTTAGGCTGAACCTCTGGGGGCCTAGGTTTGGAGATGTGGCAGGGCCCTGGGTGCCAGGTGGGCTAGAACCCACCCAGGCTGGCCTCTAGACCCGACATTCTCTCCCAGTCCTCTCCTTCACTGCTGGAGCTCATTAGCACTTGAATGGGGGGCGGGGCGGCTTGGGCCTCTGAGTCTCTTCTTCCCACCCCTCCCCCAGGCCTTGTGGGGCTTTGTCTGCAGGAGCAGGCAGAGATGGAGCTCCCACGTTAAGGAGTGAGCAGAGGTCCGAGCCACAGCTGACCTCCTCTGCCTGCATCCTGCCCAGTTCTGCTAGGCTCAGGCCCTGCCCCTCATGCCAGTGTCAGTGCAGCCAACATGAGGTCATACCTCTAGGGTAGGAGTGAGACTAGGTCCTTCAACGGATACCTCTGAGCTGAGAGACTAGGTAAATCAGGGCAGCTGGA